TAGTCTATAGTCTGGACTATAGTTTTGTCTATAGTCTGGACTATAGATTAGTCTATAGTCTGGGCTATAGATTAGTATATAGTCTGGACTATAAATTAGTCTATTATCTGGACCATAAATTAGTCTATAGTCTGGACTATTATTTAGTATATGGTCTGGACTATAGTTTAGTCTATAGTCTAGACTATATTTTAGTCTATAGTCTAGAATATATTTTAGTCTATAGTCTGGACTATAGTTTGGTCTATAGTCTGGACTATAGTTAATTCTATAACGTATACTATAGTTTAGTCTATGAGGTTTACTATGGTTTAGTCTGTAACGTAGACTGTAGTTTAGTCTATAGTCTGAACTATAGTTTAGACTTTAGACTATAGTTTAGTTTATATCTGGACTGCAGTCTGGACTATAGTTTAGTCTATAGTCTGGACTATAGTTTAGTCTGTAGTCTGAACTAGAGTTTATTCGATAGTCTTGACTATAGTTTAGTCTATAGTCTGGATTATAGTTTAGCCTATAGTCTGTACTATAGTTTAGCCTATAGTCTGTACTATAGTTTAGTCTATAGTCTGGACTATAGTTTAGTCTATAGTCTGGACTATAGTTTAGTCTATAGTCTGGACTATAGTTTAGTCTATAGTCTGGACTATAGTTTAGTCTATAGTCTGGATTATAGTTTAGCCTATAGTCTGTACTATAGTTTAGTCTATAGTCTGGACTATAGTTTAGTCTATAGTCTGGACTATAGTTTAGTCTATAGTCTGGACTATAGTTTAGTCTGTAGTCTGAACTAGATTTTATTCGATAGTTTTGACTATAGTTTAGTCAATAATCTGGACTATAGTTTAGTCTATAGTCTGGCCTATAATTTAGTATATAGTCTGGTCTATAGTTTAATCTATAGTCTGGACTATAGTTTAGTCTATAGTCTGGACTATAGTTTAATCTATAGTCTGTACTATAGTTTAGTCTATAGTCTGGACTTAAGTTTAGTCTATAGTCTTAACTATATATAGTTTAGTCTATAGTCTGGACTATAGTTTAGTCTGTAGTCTGGACTATAGTTTAGTCTGTAGTTTGAACTAGAGTTTATTCGATAGTCTGGACTATAGTATATAATCTGCACTATAGTTTAGTCAATAATCTGGACTATAGTTTAGTCTATAGTATGGACTATGGTATATAATCTGGGCTATAGTTGTGTCTATAGTCTGGACTATAGTTTAGTCTATAGTCTGGACTATAGTTTAGTCTGTAGTCTGGACTTAAGTTTAGTCCATAGTCTGAACTATATATAGTTTAGTCTATAGTCTACACTATAGTTTAGTCTATAGTCTGGACTATAGTTTAGTCTGTAGTCTGGACTATAGTTTAGTCTGTAGTTTGAACTAGAGTTTATTCGATAGTCTGGACTATAGTATATAATCTGCACTATAGTTTAGTCAATAATCTGGACTATAGTTTAGTCTATAGTCTGGACTATAGTATATAATCTGGGCTATAGTTTTGTCTATAGTCTGGACTATAGTTTTGTCTATATGTATACAAGACTATAGTTTAGCTCATATTCTGGACTATAGTTTAGTCTGTAATCTAGATTATAATTTAGTCCATAGTCTGGACTACAGTTCAGTCTATAATCTGAACTGTAGTTTCGTCTGCAGTCTTGACTATAGTTTAGTCTATAGTCAGAGCTATAGTTTAGTTTTAGTCTGGACTATCGTTTAGTCTGTAGTCTTGATCACCTATAGCCTAGCATATAATTTGGTCTATACCAAATGATGGCTTAGTCTATAGTCTACATTATAGTTGTTATCGCCATTACTTGTGGAACCTATTCTGTAGCGTTGAAATAAATCTTAACATTTTAAAAACTACTACTTTTAATTTAAAATTTTATGTTTTAACTAATTAAAGTTTTATTCTTTTTTTTAGTTATTTACAAACTTTAACTATTCAATCTAATAAAAAACAAGTTAGAGTGCTATATTCGGCTGAGCCGAATCTTAAATACCCTCCACCAGCAACTTTTGTATTAATACATTTCTAATTAATAATATATTTGTAGAAATAAGTTTTCTCATGTCTTAAATAGAAAAATCCTAAGATTTAAACAGCTTAAATCTACTACAATTCCAAGATTTATTGAACATTAGAAACGCCACTTTCATTTAAATTTTTATAGCGCCCTAAGATATGCTTTAGCGATATCTCGTATTTGCGTGTATGCATGTGTGTGAAAGATTTAAGGATTTTAAAAATACATACATATATATAATATAGTTAAATACGGTTAAAGCACTTTTAGGGGCAGGACCTAGTATGAGAGATATGACCAAATATAGACCGATCGTGAAAAATTTTTGAAATAGCATTAAGTGCTTTTTGCATTACAAAATAGTATTTATGAACAAAAATAGTATTTATTTATATCATTATTTGGTAATGAGTTATGTGCCTTTAAGTGTTTTTCTGAAAGGGGCCTTGTATGGGAGCTATGATCAATTATGGATCGATAGGAAAACAATTTCACAGTAATATTTCTCTGTATATGAGCAATATTTCTGCCAAACTTTATATGGATATCTTAATTTAGTAATGAGTTATGTGCGTTTAAGTGATTTTCGGGAGGGGACCTTGTATGGGAGCTATGACCAGTTATGGACCGATCGGAAAAAAAATTATCTGTAATATTTCTGTTCATATGAGTAATATTTGTACCATATGGGTATCTTAATTAAGTAATGAGTTATGCGCGTTTAAGTGCTTTTCGGGAGGGGACCTTGTATGGGAGCTATGACCAATTATGGACCGATCGCGTTTAAGTGATTTTCGAGAATGGACCTTGTATGGGAGCTATGACCAATTATGGACCGATCGGAAAAAAATTTCACAGTAATATTTCTATGCACATGGGCAATACTTGTACCAAATTTTATATGGATATCTTAATTTAGTAATGAGTTATGCGCGTTTAAGTGATTTTCGGGAGGGGACCTTGTATGGGAGCTATGACCAATTATGGACCGATCGGAAAAAACTTTCACAGTAATATTTCTATACATATGGGCAATACTTATACCAAATTTTATTTGGATATCTCAATTTAGTAATGAGTTATGCGCGTTTAAGTGATTTTCGGGAAGGTACCTTGTATGGGAGCTGTGATCAATTATGGACCGATCGGAAAAAAATTTCACAACAATATTTCTGAGCATATGAGTAATATTTGTACCAAATTTTATATGGATATCTTAATTTAATTATGAGTTAAGCGCGTTTAAGTGATTTTCGGGAGGGGACCTTGTATGGGAGCTATGACCAATTATGGGCCGATCGGAAAAAAATTTCACAGTAATATTTCTATGCATATGGGCAATACTTATACCAAATTTTATATGGATATCTTAATTTAGTACTGAGTTATGTGCGTTTAAGTGATTTTCGGGAGGGGACCTTGTATGGGAGCTATGACCAATTATGGACGGATCGGAAAAAACTTTCACAGTAATATTTCTATGCATATGGGCAATACTTATACGAAATTTTATTTGGATATCTTAATTTAGTAATGAGTTATGCGCGTTTAAGTGATTTTCGGGAGGGGACCTTGTATGGGAGCTATGATCAATTATGGACCGATCGGAAAAAAATTTCACAACAATATTTCTGTGCATATGAGTATTATTTGTACCAAATTGTATATGGATATCTTAATTTAGTTATAAGTTAAGCGCGTTTAAGTGATTTTCGGGAGGGGACCTTGTATGGGAGCTATGACCAATTATGGACCGATCGGAAAAAAATTTTACAGTAATATTTCTATGCATATGGGCAATACTTATACCAAATTTTATTTGGATATCTTAATTTAGTAATGAGTTATGCGCGTTTAAGTGAATTTCGGGAGGGGACCTTGTATGGGAGCTATGACCAATTATGAACCGATCCATAAAATTTTTCCTCTGAAAGAATTCTATTGACATAAGATTTTAATTTGTAAAATTTTGTGAAGATATCGACATTGTGGCGGAAGTTATTAACAAAAAACCCATTTTCCGGGAATATGTACTTTTGTATGGGAGGTATATGAAATTGTGGACCGATTCTGGCAATTTTCAGCAGGGATCAAGATCTTGTGCAGAAACGAATGTGTGGTGATTTCCATGTCATTATCTTGCATAGTTTTCGAGAAAATTACATCAGAATGTGTAAAAAATGCTTATTTTTTTCCGAGGTTGTTTTAAATTTTGATTCATAACTTTTCCCGGTGTGAACCGATTTTGCCCATTTGCAATACCAAACAACTTAGGAAAATGAAGAACATTTTGGGTGAATTTGGTTAAGCTCTATTGCTTCGTTTTATCGTGAGCGTGTTTTACACAGACAGACGGACAGACGGACATAGCTAAATCGACTCAGAATTTGATAAGGACCCAGAATATATATACTTTGTTGGGTCTCAGATGAATATTTCTTGGTGTTACACACGGAATGACAAAGTTATATATACCCTCTATCACCACTGATGGTGGTGGAGGGTATAAAAACATTTTATCTAAAACATGTATCACTGAATTTTATTGATTTACAAACTCGTCTGGTTAGAAACAAACAAAATGACCTCATCACCACTCACTCGTATTCCTTACCCGTGACACACGTCATCATTATTATTTTTTTCAAAACGTTTTGAAATCCATATTATAGAACTTTTTCAATTCAAATATTTGAAAAACAAAACAAATTATACCGGTTTTTTCATTATTTGTTTATTTATTTGTATCTTTCAAGTTTTATTATCTCATTATGATGCCATCATACGTATAATATTTTCCCTTTCATTTGTGTAAACGTTAACATCATGAAACAAATTGAAAATGTTTAATATCTTAGAAGAAAAACCTTGAAAATTATATTTGTAAAACAACTAAATTTTTAAAAATTTTATATTATTCTAATCAAAAATTTGTGTGTTTTTTCTTTCTCTCTCTTTGCAGCATTTATTTAAAATTGAAAAACAACAATAATTTAGCAACTACACAACAACAACCACATCTAGACAACATCTTGAAAACGACTAAAATATTATTTAAAATCTTCAAAAATTTTTACTACATGAACTGCATAGAAAAACCAGAATAAAACATTTATAATGTAAGTGTAAATAAAATTTTTAAATAAATATTTCATTTTTATAAAAATATTAATTAAAAATTTACTATATTTTTTTTTAAAAAGTTTACTTTTATAAAACTTGAGCAATCTTGCTGTACTTAAGGGAAACTTAAGCATTTAACTTTGGATTTTAGCTCAAATTAAAATTAACGCCAAATTAAATACTCCTTAAGTTATGCAAAATGACTCATGTAAATTGTTACATCATTGTAAAATTTACTTGATTCTATAGAAATTCCTTAAGGTACAATTGTCAACTAAAATAATAACAATTTACATTTTATTAAGTTGTTTCTTTTTTGAACATTTAAGGGGCAAATAGTTAGTCATTGTACAACAAGTTGCTGTTGCGCCTAAGTTAGTTACCAGAGAGATCAATGAAATTAAACCTTGGATGATTTAGGTGACAAAAGGGGCCCAAAAAGTTACAAAAACTGGTCAAGAGTTAGAGTTGAATTTATAAGTAATTATAGAATTAGTGTTGAAGAGGTCAATAGATTAGTCAATAATCAATAGGCTAGGCAATAGACCAGTCAACAAAGTCGTCAATAGACTATTGAATAGTCTAGTCAATATGATAGTCAATAAACTAGACTAGTCAATAAGCTAGTCAATAAATTAGAGAATAGCTTAAACAATAGACTAGTTAATAGACTAGTGAATAGACCAGTAAATAGACTAGTCCACATTCCAGTCAATAGACAATTCAGAGGACTTGTCAATCATCTACCAATAGTCAACAGATCAATCAATAGATTATTTAGTAGACAAGTCAATAGAGTATTCTATAGACTAGGCAATAGACTAATCAATAGCCAAGTCAACAGATTAGGCTATAGACTTGTCAGTAGACTAGTCAATAGACTATTTATTTGACCAGTCAATAGAGTAGGCAAAGGTCTTGTCAATAGACCAGTTAATAGACTATTCAATAAACAACGCAATAGTCAATAGTCCGGTCAATAGATCAGTCAATGGACTAGTCAATAGACTTGCCAATAAACTAGTCAATAGACTTATCAGTGGACTAGTCGAGTCGACTAGTCAACCGTGTATTCACTAATGAAAAATCAACAGACAGTTATAGACCACACTGAACTATAGACTACACTATAGTCTACGCTATGGACTGGACTATACACTACACTATAGATTGGACTATACACTACACTATAGATTGGACTATAGACTACACTATAGTCTGGACTATAGATTACATTATAGTCTGGACTATAGATTACACTATAGTCTGGACTATAGATTACACTATAGTCTGGACTATGGATTACACTATAGTCTGGACTATAGATTACACTATAGCCTGGACTATAGACTACACTATAGTCTGCACTATAGACAAGACTATAGTCCGAATTATAGACTAGACTATAGTCTGAACTATATACTAGACTATAGTCTGAATTATGGACTAGATTATAGGCTGGACTATACTATAGATAAGACTATAGTCTGCACTGTAGACAAAACTATAGTCTGCACTATAGACAAGACTACAGTCTGCTCTATAGACAAGACTATAGTCTACACTATAAAAAAGACTATGGTCTACACTATATACAAGACTATAGTCTGCACTATCAACAAGACTATAGCCTGGACTATGGACAAGACTATAGTCTCGACTATAGTTTGAATTATAGACCAGACTATAGTCTGCACTATAGACAAGATAGTATGGACTATGGACAAGACTATAGTTTGGACTATGGACTAGACTAGACTTTTGTCTGGACTATGGACTAGGCTTTAGTCTGGACTATGGACTAGACTATAGTCTGGACTACAGACTAGACTATAGTCTGGACTATAGACTAGACTATAGTCTGGACTATAGACTAGACTATAGTCTGGACTATAGACGAGACTATAGTCTGGACTATAGACTAGACTATAGTCTGGACTATAGACTAGACAATAGTCTGGACTATAGACTAGACAATAGTCTGAATTATAGACTAGACTATAGTCTGGATTATAGACTAGACTATAGTCTGGACTATAGACTAGACTATAGTCTGGAATATAGACTAGACTATAGTCTGGAATATAGACTAGACTATAGTCTGGACTATAGACTAGACTATAGTCTGGACTATAGATTAGATTATAGTCTGGACTATAGACTAGTTTATAGTCTGGACTATAGACTAGTTTACAGTCTGGACTATAGACTAGTTTATAGTCTGGACTATAGACTAGACTACAGCCTGGAATATAGACTAGACTATAGTCTGGACTATAGACTAGATTATAGTCTGGACTATAGACTAGTTTATAGTCTGAACTATAGACTAGACTACAGTCTGGAATATAGACTAGATTACAGTCTGGACTATAGCCTATACAATTGTTTGGACTATTGTCTGCACTATAGACAAGACTATGGACAAGACTATAGTCTGAACTATAGTTTGGACAATAGTCTGAACTATAGTTTGGACAATAGTCTGAACTATAGTTTGGACAATAGTCTGGACAATAGTCTAGACAATAGTCTGGACAATAGTCTAGACCATAGTCTGCACTATAGACTATTGTATGGGCTAAAGACTAGACTATTGTCTGGACTTGTCAATAGACTAGTTAATAAGCTAATCTATAGACTAGTCCATTGACTATTATATTGAAATATTTTTAGTTCAAAAAGGTACTATTTTTGTTAAAAATTAGTAAAGAGGACAAATTTCCAAAAATCCCCAAATAATCAATTTAAGGGTTAACTGAATTACACATTTCTTTCCTTATATTCCTTTATTAACCCATTAACATTTAAGGACCCTTACTCCTTTCTCTCTAACCGTTTCTTGGGCCATAGTACAAAAACTAGTCAGCTTATTGCTCTAAATGGAACGATAAAGTGACAATTTAGTTTTATGAGCAGCGCAGCGGCATTGTTAAAATGTTTCAACAGTAATTTCTTCTTTATATGAATTTTATGCGTGAGCGTGTGTGTTTCAATGTCTGAATGACTTGTTTTGTGGTATGCCACATTATGAGGCGTTAAATTTAGTAGACATATTATCTTTGTTGTCGTTGTAGTAAATAGTAATATGATTGTCACTATATGACTGACTGAATGAATGAATATATTGTTTGTAATAAGAGGGAAAACTTACATTAATCATGTTCGTACAGTATTAATGTTGAAATTAAATTAATTAAATCATATTTTATGACATGAAAAGCGTATGAAATAAATTTTGCGGAATTTCAAAAACAATTGAAAGCGTAAAATGTAAGTGACAGTAATGAAAAGGATTAAATTATGGAAAAAATGTGTACATAAATTAAAACAAGACATAATGGAGAGAGAAGAGATTTAACAGATTCAAATTCAGAAAATATGGTAGAAAGAAAAAAATTTTGAAAAATTTAAATCATTTTCATGGTTCTGTGACATCATTTCCTGGGGTTTCATGGCATCAGATACAACTTATAACCACTTAATATTAATTAGTATCCTTTCAACTGGAATTCTATACAATCTGCCACCCACTTTGTAGCTCCCACTACCGAATAACATCATCACTTTTTGCCTTCACAAAACTTCGCCAACTTTCAAATAAATATTACCATGATTTAATAACTGTCATTAAAATGCAATTTTCCCTAAATTACTAAAACAATAAATATTTACAACAAAAAACACTTTGTACTAAAAACAAAAATATAATAAAAAATCAAACTCTATGACGGACTGACTATAAAAACAAGGAAAAAGCGCGTAAATAACATTTGACCCTCTAGACAATCAGACTTCAAGTAGTAAATTTTTAATGGAAACTAGGAGACAAACTGGTTTTACTTATTTGCTCATTTTACTGAAAGTGACATAAAACTGTGACGCCAAAAATTTATGACTTTTTGGGCGGCTGGTAAAGGGTGAGGATACTATATGGTTACCAGTGTTGGGTGTATGCGTGTTCTAAAACAAGACAAATTAAAACACAATATCCTGTCAAGACATAAAAAGAAAACTTGGAAATAAATTGACACAAACACATACATGTACAATGTATATGGTGTGTAGTTACACGGAATACTAAATAGAAAACAGGACGTGTTGGAGTAAATTAGAACTACACCGTTTCCAAACAGTTAATGCTAAAGACTGACCAAGACTAACCAAAAAGTAGATATTAGTCAGAACTATTACCTAGACTATAGCCAATGCTATAGACTAGACTATAGTCGGGACTATAGTAAGGACTTTAGACTAGACAATATTCAAGACTATAGATCAGACTATAGACTATAGTTAGAATTATAGACTGGAGTATAGCCAAGACTATAGACTATACTAAAATCAGGAGTATAGCTTAGACTATATACAGGACTATAGACTGGACTATAGCCAGGACTATAGCCAGGACTATAGGCTAGACTACAGTCGGGAATATAGACTTGACTGTAGTCAGGACTATAGACTAGACAATAGTCAGGACTATAGACTAGACTGTAGTCAGGACTATAGACTAGACAAAAGTCAGGACTATAGACTAGACAAAAGTCAGGACTATAGACTAGACAAAAGTCAGGACTATAGACTAGACAATAGTCAGGACTATAGACTAGACTATATTCAGGCCTATAGACAAAACTATAGTCAGGACTATAGACAAGACTATAGTCGGACTATAGACAAGACTATAGTCGGAACTTAATATTAGACTATAGCCAGGACTATTGACTAGACTACAGTCAGATCTATGGACTAGGCTATAAAGTAGACTATAGTCTGGACTATAAAGTTCTAGTTCTGCTAGTTCTGTTCTAGTTCTGTTCTAGTTCTGTTCTAGTTCTGTTCTAGTTCTGTTCTAGTTCTGTTCTAGTTCTGTTCTTGTTCTGTTCTAGTTCTAGTTCTGTTCTAGTTCTGTTCTAGTTCTGTTCTAGTTCTGTTCTAGTTCTGTTCTAGTTCTGTTCTAGTTCTGTTCTAGTTCTGTTCTAGTTCTGTTCTA